ATCCTGACAAACCCATCATGAATTGGAACTATTATAAGTTGAAGATGTGTTTAATATACACCTACCAAAGGAACACCATAGCTTAATGTGGCTTACCTTAGACATGCTCAGAACATTTATTTTAGCCTACAATTGAACAAAATTATCTAACACAAAGTCTATTTTATAATAAAGTCCTGAATATTTCATATGCAAATACAAGTGGGCATTTTGTGGAAATGATGGCAGGTAAAAACACAATTACAAAAAATATTACCTTGTGCATATGCTGTCAAGTATGAGTTGTTTGCCCTCATGATAGTGCAGCTGACTGGGAGCTCTGGTTCACTGCTGCTGCCCAGCATCACAAGAGAGTCTCAGACCATATATCACTAGCCTGAGAAAAGATCCAATTTCAAAAATTTCAGTCTGTTTTCTGTTAAATGCATACTGCTTTTGTATCATCATGAAGTTGAAACTTGAACTTGTATCATCATGAAGTTAAAAGTTGAACCATCATAAGTTGGGGACCATATATATGTATCAAATCTTCTGGTGAATATGCCCACTGTGAATTTTATTGAGTGTTTTTCTGTTGGGACCAGGCAGGAGGCATGAATGCTTTCATAACCACTTCTGTTTGATATTTTATTAGAGGTCCAATAAGGTGCAATAAGGCTAAAAGGAGAAAAATATCATTATTTTCCACATAACATGACTGTTCATGTGGGAAACTAAAAAGAATTTGCAGATAAACTTTTGGAAGCAAAAATCAAGTAGGAAACTCCCATGTTAGGATGAACTGGAAGAAAACCAGAACTCAAAAGAACTGTAAGCCTGCTTCAAGTTATTCAATTCCCTGTTCCTTGAAGTGTGGCCCTTGTGCCAGTAGCACTGATATCACTTGGGGTCTTGTGAAAAATTAAGAGTCTCAGGACTTGTCCTAGGTCTGCTAAATCAGAACTTGCATTTTAACAAGATTGACAGGTGATACATAACCACAATAAAGTTTAAGCAGTCCTAATCTTGATGGCCAAGAGACCATAAGCCCTAATCTGAGATAAAGATAATTTGGGATGGCCCATACTCTCAGACACCTGGCAAAAAATAACTAAATGAAAACTTATTAAATAATCCCTTGCTTCTTCCTACAGTAGTAAATCAAAGTATATACCTCTAACTAGTTTTAGCAGAAAGTACATGGAGCATGTATGGGGCTATGTCCCTTAACTCAACATTCATTATTCCAACACCCCTGACCATTCTAGCCTCATAGATGCTTCTTGTTGTTGAACTGAGTTAAATAAAAGCCCTGGATGTTTTGGGTGGGCTGAGGGTATGACTGACCACAGTTTCTCTGCTTGCTGACACCTTTGAGCAGATCCATTGGACTACCCTGGAGAAGGAAGCTAAAGCCTGTAGTAAGTTTTGGGGTGGAGGGAGCACTTCCTGGGAACCGATGGGGACTTCTTAATGTGGAAATAATAATAATGTGGCTGAGTTTGAAATTATTAATAACCCTTCTGTGATCCGTGAAGATACAGTATGTTCTTAGCTGTTATTTTTAAGGTTTCCGAGGAAAACTATATAGACCAGAAATAAATAAATTCTGTGGAAATTTGGGATCCTTACTATTGATAGCACCAGAGCAAAAATTTTATGATTGGATCTAGAACAATTAGGAGTCTGGCATCTAATTGCTCTTCAATTCAAGTTTACCTTGTAGAGAAAGAAAGTGCAGATTCCTCAGGTTTGCTCTGCTTTTTAGCAGGGTAAAACACCATATAAACATTTCTCTCTGCTTTTTTCTTTCCTTTTTGGCGGTTACAGAAACTTTCGAACTCCATCTTTGTAAACATTTTCTAATATTTCTGGCAAATTTCCATTTTTTTCTTTTTAAAATTTAGCTGCCCAGCAAGATGTTTCATTTGGATTTGGAAATGCACTTATCTATTTATTTATTTTTAAATTTTCCTAATCCCATTTACTTCTGTCATGCTACTTTCTATATCTACTTTGTTCTATTTTTAAATTTAGACATAATATTTGTACATATTTATGGAGTGCCTTATAATAACTTGATACATATATACAACATATAGTGATCAAACAGGGATTACAAGTACTTCCATATCTTTCAATTTTAATCATTTTTGTGCATTAGGAATTTTGTACTCTTTTATTGATTTTGAAATATAGCAGATTACTTTTACAAAGTTATCCTACTGTGCTATAGAAAACTGGAACTGTGTGTTGGTGCCTGCATTTAACGTTTTCTCATTTTCCTTCCCCACTGCCCTTCTCAGTCTCTAATGAATACTATTCTACTCTGTTCTATAAGATCAATGAGGTGAGTATTTTAGGTAACCAACAACCTAAAATGTATGACAGATCTGATAACCCAGGAATTCCCAACCTAGGATGGGAAGGGTCTGTAGATGGAGGAAGGCAGAATCCTATGGGAATAATTGGAAATATCAAAAAAATTTCCCTTATTTTACACTGGACATACTCTTAACAGTCAATGTCTCTTTCATTCTGGATATCAAGTGTTCTTTTTTGTTTTTTGTTTTGATTTATTAAAAGTATTTATTGAAGATCTATTTAATACCAAGGCTAGTACCAAATGCCAGCTACACAATGTAGATCCAGAACAAACACGATTTGTTTTGAAACATTAAAATAGAAATTTGTAAATCAGTAGTTTCCTCTACTTTCTCAACAGAGAATTAACAGAGACTTGACTGCTAAGAACTGCAGAGATTAAGTAAAAATTGGACAGGGTTTAGTATATAATAAAGCAATAGGAAGAGAACCAGCCTTCACAACTGTTCCCTTTCTCTCCACACCAATTTCTTGGTAGACTTGTTTTGAATACATATTTCTTTAATTTTGCATAAATGGTAAAATGTCCTTAGTTCTAAAGATTGAGGTTGTTGGTTACCTAAAACACTCACCTCATAGTTTGTCAAGTGGCAGGGTCTGCAAAAATGATTGGAGTTGTTAAGAGAGGAGAATCCAGACACCAGATAAGCAGTATATGTCAACTTCCCTGTCTCCTGTCCCATGTCCACTGTACACATTACTAATAGATCACACGGGTCTGAATGTGGTCTGAAAATCCTTCTCATTATAGTAAGCTCTCTGCTCTTCCCTACTTGTTAGTAAAATATGGAAATTTAAGATATTGTCCTCTTGCTTCCCATTTCTCATTTGTTTTCAAATCATAGTATGCCTTTTAGATGACCAGACAGATTCTGGGGACATTAAAAGAGATACGAAAAGAAAGTGTTTATCAGCTATTTTGTGAAGTGATGATTTACTTCATATATTTGGTATACTACAGTAGTCCCTTCTTATCCATGGTTTTGCTTTCTGTGGTTTCAGTTACTTGAGGTCCACAGTGATCCAAAAATATTAAATGGAATATTCCAGAAGTGATTCATAAGTTTAAAATTGAACATTGTTTGATTAGGTGAAATCATATACCATCCCATTTCATCTTGCCCAGAAGATGAATCATCCATCCCTTCATCCAGAGTATCCACATTGTATATGCTAATCGCCCAATAACCTGTAGTCATCTAATTATCAAATCAACTGTCATAATATTACAGTGCTGTGTTCAAAACACTTATCTTAGTAACATTCCCAAAATGTAAAAGTTGTAAGGCAAGCAATTTGGATATGCCAAAGAAAAGCCAGAAAGTACTTTCTTTCTTTTTGTGAAGATTTTGAAAGAGAGGCCATATTCACATAATTTTATGATATAATGTTATAACTGTTCTATTTTATTATTGTTATTGTTTTTAAACCTTTACTGTACCTGATTTATAACTTAAACTTATCATAGATATGTAAGTATAGAGGCAAAAACAGAATATATAGGGTTTGGTAATATCTGGGATATTCATTATTCACTGGGGGATTTGGAACAAATCTCCTGCAGATAAGGGGAGCCATTGTAGCTATTTTGATTCCCTTGGATTTAGGAAACATTTGGTTATTTTAACTATTGCTTCCAATGAGCTAATATCAATGAAATATCTTTCTGTTTCTCTATTTCTCTGTTTCTTAGACAACTTTAATAAAGATTAAGGAGCTCTAGTTAATATGTTGAATTCTCTTTGTTATATGAGCAGCAACATAGTTAAGTAATTTCAGAGTTAAAAAGAGTAAAGAAGGCTTAGAATGGGAACCAATTAATTAATCAAACATTATTATTATTGATTGATAACTAATAAGACACCCTCAATAGAATATTATTTTCCACTGCATTCAATTTTTAGGTATATTAGAGAATCCTGAAATTCATAATCACAGGGCTGGAAGGGAACATAGAGATCGCATAATTTAGCTTTTTTTTTTAATTTTGAAGATGAGAAAACTTAATTGGAGAGCACAGGGTGACTTGTGCAAGGACAGTGCTACATAACAGAAAAGCTAGAACAAGCATGAAGTTTTCTTGATCCTTAGTTGTTACAGTTTGGACCCAGAATGTCCCTCAGAGGCTCATGTTGAAGGTTTGGTCCCCAATGCAGCAACAATCAGAGGTGGAGCTTTGAGGAAGTGATTATATCATGTGGGCTTTGATCTCATTAATGGATTAGTCCATTGATGGATTCATAATTGAATGGACTATGATGAGGAGGTGGAGACTGTAGGTGGTGGGGCATAGTTGGAGGAAGTCAGTCACCAGGAGCATGCCCTGGAAGGGTATATATTGACCCTGGTCCCTTCTTTTCCCTCTCTCTTTCACTTTCCTGGCTGCTACAAGGTGGGCATCTTTGTTCTGCCACATGTTCCCATGACATTCTTCCTCACCTCAGGCCAAAAGCAACAGAGCCATTAACCTTGGATTGAAACCTTCTTACTCTCAGTTTATTTCTCACGTATTTTGTCACAGCAACGGAAACTAATACACTGGTCCAGCATTCCTCCTTCCTCAGGATATTGCCTCTTACACAACTGGTAGGTAAAATATTTCCAAAGTAATTTTTTTTTCATTTTGTTATTTCCAGTGTGTTGAGAGCCACAGCCCAAGGGGCCCCAGCAAACTTCCAGCTGCCGGCTGATGATTGGCTCACAGCGCCCCAGCAACATCTAGCTGATTGGCTCCTCGGCCCCAGCAACATCTAGCTGATTGGCTCCTCTGCGGTGATGCTCATTGGGCTGTTTCCCTGCCCTTTCAGACCACGGAGCTGCTCATTGGGGGACTTTTTTGGCTCCGCCCACGTGACCCAGCCAATCGGCCTCAAGAGCAGGAGGATTGTGGGAGGTGGAGAAAAGCTTGTGGGGGAGAGAGAGGCTTGTGGAAAGCCGGTGGTGGCAGTTGAGGCTCTGAGGGTTTTTCCTGAGAGGCTGTTTTGTTTGGCGTGTGTGGTTCTAAAAATAAAGTTAGTTTCTTTTGACAAGTGGCTCCTGATTGTGCCCAGCCAGACTGCGGCACCAGTGTATTTTTTTTCATTTTTCAGAAGCATTGATTTTACTATAAGATTTATGAGAAACAGAAATTTACTAAGGACCATCTCTGCTATCCCAGAGACATGGGAGAAAGAACAGAGAAGAGCAGGGCAGGGCTAAGTGTCCCAGGAAAAACAGTCTCTGATGCCTTTCCCAGCTGGTGGAGGGACCCATTTGTGGGAGGATCCAGAGGCCCTCTCACTGGCATCTATGTGGTGAAGGCTTCAGTAATCTGTGCACCTTCCTCCTACAGCTGTTCCATGTGAGATCCTGTGGCATCTGTCTTTCTGTATTGATAGATATGTTGATGAGCACAAGTTCATCATCCCATAATGTATAGCTTCATCTATAAACATCCCATTGTTTACCATAAATGTATAGTTATAATTTGTCAGTTTAAAATGATATTAATAAAAGCATATGTAAAATAAACAAAATGGTTTTGTCTGTCCTAGATGTCCACTTTCTTTGGGGCATATATATGTAATACACTTGTTTCTGAATCCAAGTTGTGTCTTTCAGCTGGTAGGATGTAATACAGCATGCAGTAACATATTCTTAGAATATAGGTGGCAATCCTAGCCACCCCCTTCTATCCCTGGCTATTGACTGGTACAGGTTGCAGGCCCACCTTGGGGTTGCCCTATGGAGAGAAAATTTTCTTCTGATGAGGTCCCCTGGGAGGACTTGCGGCTCTCTGCCTACCACTCACTCACTGCTGTTCACCCAGGGGCTGGACAGTGGGGTGAGTGCAGGGACATGCTTAGGGATCATCCTGGGAGGGGTCCTCACCTTCAGACTGCAGAGGTTAATGGCAAGCAGGCTGGCTCTTCTGTCACCCTTCTGTACTGACTGCTTATGCCCCCTCAGCCAGCTGATGCTCAGAGAACAGGAAGGGGAAGATGTGAAAGGCAGACTCATAGGCAACTTTCTTTGGGGATAGAGTGAATCTGGAAGGATCTGAGAAGGATAGGTAAGACTCAACTTCTGGATTTAGGAAACATTTGATTATTTTAACTATTGGGTTGTGCAGTCTGCCTCCTGGGTTGTTTGGTGCTGGAGCATGAGATATATAGCCATTGCCTGATAGAATTTTTCAGTTTACCAAAGATAACCCGAGTTGCTGAAAATTACAAGTGTGTGCCACCATGCCCAGCTGTTTACTTGTTTAGAAATTAAAACCTGTAGGATGCTTCAATGACCCTTTTATTTTGAATCTGAAAGTCTGTAATAACTTTTGACTTTTAAAGGCCTCATCGTATCTACACTCAGGTATTCAATTCCTTTTTTTTTTTTCCAATTTGAGATTTCCAGGGTAATCTTAAAGATCAGACATACAGTTCTAATTTGTACCCCATAAAAACTGACATTCCAAATGGCGATTCAGCACCTAAGGCTTAAGTCCTCAGTCATTGAAGGCATGAGAATTTAGATTGTGTTTGTCTCACACGTCTCATCTACACAGATGGCACCCAGCCCTGGACTCACTGCCCCGCTTGGATAGAATCTGACATTCCACCCAAGTCTGTTTCTCCTTCCCTTCCACCATCCCCCAGGCATGAGCCCTATCTCCCCCTCCAGTGCAGCTTCCTTTCCTAGACACCTCTTTGACTCATTTCTCCCTTTAACTTTGTGAGTTATCTGCAAGTCTATGAAAATCTGCTTCCCCCATTTGTGAAATACCCTTACTAGAGGGACCCTAAGCCTGCTTGCTGGCTGCCATTGTCCCTGATAGTTCACTCAGTTGGGTGTTTGACTATTTAAATTTGTCCCTCTCCCTCACAGCTCTCCTTCTCTATCCTTCAATTTCGTTCCCTTCTTCCCTTGCCTATAATGGAAGCTAGGATAGAGACTCAATGTCACTCATGTGGCTAAGTCAGTTAGCTCCTCTTCCCATATCAGGGCTCCATCGTAGAGGTCAAGGTCCACTTCTGTTCTTGCTTCAGTTCCAGTGACTGATTTAAAGGATTAAGTCAATCATCTGTAAACATTTTGATGTGTGCAGCTCTATTACTTAGAAAAAAAAAATTGATCATGCACTCCCAATGTATTTACTTAACACTTACAAACAAGTACTACTATAAATCCATAATTAAATATAGGCAAAGCTTATATTTTTGCCAATATCCCTAAAAAGAAATATAAATCGAAGTCATAAAAGTTTCTCCCTGCACTTCTTTTCTCCACCTGTCATATCTTGAAACTGCTGAATTAAGCAGTGGGTGCTCTGGGAGCCACACATGGGCTGGGCTTGTTCAGTCACAGTAATAAGAGTTGCTGCCATGATTTGAGCACTTACTATGTGCCATGAACAGCATTAGGCCTTTTCATAAAATGTTCCATTGAATTTTCACAGGAGCTCCATGTGGTAGGCTCCCTGTTTCTCATTCTATTGTTGAAGAAACTGAGGCTCAGAGATTCTGACCTTTGATCACCATTGCTGCTATCGAGAGGCAGAGCAGAATCAAAGCCAGGTCTCTGACCTGAAGCATGTCTGAATCACGGTGCATTGTGGAGTGCTTCCTTTTGCTAAGCTCTGGACATGCTCAGGCAACAAGACAGATGGAGCCTCTGGCATCTTTAAGCTGCCATTCCACAGTGCTCTGACATCCTAAGGGCTCTCTAGATCTGACTGAAAGGGGATTTATCTGATTGAATATATTTTAGGATTTTTTTTAAAGTTTGCTACATGACATTGGCAATGAGGTTTTTTTTTTTTTAAAAAAAACAAAAAACCTTAAAATGTAATATCAAACAGTAATATTTGGAATTCTATTGGTTTTGTGTCTTGCAATGTTATTCATAGAATTATTTCATTGGCAAAATGCACTTTAAGCTTCAAACACTCACTTTACAAGTTAATTTTTGGAATATCGTTTTCTCAAGAGTTTGGTTTCTAAACCTCCTGAGACAAAAATAAATAAATAAATAATATAAAGCAAGTGGAAAGATTTTTAATAAAAAGCATTGAATTATCTGAAATTTTCATACAATTAATTAGCATACCACATTCTGAATAAGAAATTCTTGTTAATAGAAATTGCTTTTTCAAAATACTCTATAAGTAAATGTAGTCATAGAAGAGAATCATTGTTCCAAATTCCTTAGCCAATTAAATAGCTTAGTCTTTTGGTACATTGTTTTTCAGTTGCAGTTTGCCTTAATTTTTTTTTTAATTCACAAAGCCCTCACCCTCATCAAAGTAAACAAGAAGTTGAATGTGTTTCTCTTTATCTTCACCACTGTCACCTGATGGTAATTGACTTCATCACTAAACAGTAATGACAGATGTCACAAAAATTAATAATTAAAAACTCTGCAAAAAACCCTCTGGTGTTCAAAGACTGCACTAGTTCTCTCATATAATATTGATAATATGCATTGCTTTGTAGTTCTAGAAGTCCTTTTCCATATACAATTTCTTTTTGATCCTCACAATCACCTGTCCATCTAACAGTCTGTTTGTCTATGGTTGCATAATAAGCTATGTCCCTTGATTTTGTGGGTAAGGAATTTGGGCAGAACTTGCTGGGCGATTAATCCTTCCACTGCATGTAGCATTGACCAGGGTCACTTGCTGGCATTGGAGTGGCAGCTAGGCTGGATTGGAGGGTCCAAGCTGGCTTCACTGGTATGAAGTGTCTTGATGATTTGGCTGAAAGATTGGACACAGCTGTTTTCTTTATGGAGTTTGCCTTTTTATATGGTGACTCAAAGGCCCAAGAGGGTAATAAATGAGAGCTCCCAGAATAGTAAGGCGTAACCTCAGAAACTAGAACCATGTCACCTCTGCTGTATCCTCTTCACCAAAGTAATGGCTAAACTCAAGCTGCAGGAACCAGGACCCCATATCTTAATGGAAAAGGTGTTGAAAAGTGCAGCCATAATGCAATTAGATTTCAGGAAGTAGTATTTGGATTTTCTACTTAGCAAGTTGCTTGGGCCTCACTAAGTTGCGTAGGCTGGTCTTGGACTTGGGCTCTTCCTGCCTCAGCCTTCAGAGTCACTAGGATGATAGGCATGTGCCACTATGTCCAGATTGTTTTTCCTCTTTTATTTATTTGTTTATTTTTTTGGTACCAGGGATCTAACCTAGAAGTGCTTTACCACTGAACTATATCCCCAGTCCTTTTTATTTTTTATTTTGAGACAGGGTCTCACTAAATTCCTGAGAGTCTGGCTAAATTGCTGAGGCTGATCTTGAACTTGAGGTCCTCTTGTCTCAGCCTCCCAGGTCACTGGGATTACAGATATATACCACTGTGCCTTGGCTTGTTCTTCCTCTCTTAAAAGTTATTGAGGTGGAGGGGGAAACACAGCGAGGGTGCTGCTTGGTGAGTGTTATCTTGAGTTATGAGCAAGTAAAGGGCTTACCCCTGGGAAAGCAGCATAATACCTTCAGTTCTTTGGAATCTCGTTTTAAAATTGAGTCACTGTCCGATAAAGGCAAGGGTATGTTTCAAGGTTATTTTCCTGTACATTAAAAATGGCTTTTTGAAAAGCACCTCCTAGTGCCTGACATTTGCTGTTTTGCCCAGATTTGGTCATGGGAAATCCTAGGGTTATCTCTGTCAGAAAGCACATTTTCTTCACTAACAACCTATGTTTCCCTTTTTCCTTTATCTCAAAATATCAAAAGAAACTTCCTTTCTCTTCCACCAAAGCAATGGTAAAAGCATGCCCTTTCCTTTGTTCTTATCACAGTGAAGCCTATGGCCAAAGTATCCTTTAGATTTCAATTTGTCCTCTAGGTCTTTGCAAACTCCTTGTGCTCTCTCCTCTCAAAGTGCTGAGATTTGTTTTATTTATTGCATAGAAACCTGCCTCATTTTTCACCAAGTGGCACAAGCACTAAAGAATACCTCAGAAATCAACATCATATGTGAGCAGGGAGAGATGCCCTTCCAGGTGCTTCTGACTGAAACCATGCTGAAGGGTTCCTCACTGACGCAGAGCCAGGACTTTAAAGTTACAACAAAATTAAAGTTCAATCAAAGCGTCGTTCACTTGGAACAATTTTGCTTTGTGGGTATCAAGTAACCCATGTACTTGTAGTAGCAAGAATTTCCATAAAAGGAACAACAGGAGTGCTAGATTGCATTACTTAAAAGTGATGCTGGCTGTTATCATAAAAGGGGAAAAATGAAGGCAGAGGAAAGATTGTAAGAACAGAGTCAGCTGAAAATGAAAGACAGAGTGCCTGAGCACTACGCTGCGCCCATCTGATGTGTCCCTCTCTTATCTCATTTATTGGCAGTGTCTGAGGTTTAGGGAATGTCTGTGGGTTGCTAGCTAGCCTGCCTCTCGACCAGGAAAGCTAATGTGCCTCAGGTTAGTGTAATGGCTTCCAAAATGGGTCTCCTACCTCTAGGTCTGCATAAGACCATTCTGTGGAGTGCAGGGAAAATACTCATCAGAATTATTGTTATATT